TTTTGAGAGGAAGTATCACTCTTGTTGCCCAGGCTGGAGTGCAATGGCACCATCTTCGCTCACAACAACCTCTGCCTCCTCAGTTCAAGCAATTCTCTTGCCTCAGCCTCCAGAGTACCTGGGATTACAGGTGTGCACCACCATGTCTGGCTAATTTTGTATTTTTGGTAGAGATGAAGTTTCACCATGTTGGTCAGCCTGGTCTCAAACTCCCGACCTCAGGTGATCTGCCTGCCTCAGCCTCCCAAAGTGCTGGGATTACAGGCGTGAGCCACCGTGCTCAGCCCTGCTTGTGGGTTTTTCAATTCTACTACCTGGTGCTACAGAATCAAAAACTGGTGGTGGCAATTAGATTTTCAGGTGAGGGCAACAATATTTTATGCCACTTAATTGCTGAAATTACCACTAATTTAGAGTGAAGGATACAGCTCAACTCAAGAATTTGGAAAGTTTGAATTAAGATGAAACGTCTTAAAGAAATTCTTTTCTAAGTGAACAAATTCTGAGGAGTTTCTGGAAAAAGGGCTTCTGAAACTCTTTTATGCAAAGAATTAATTACTAAAAAACATTCTACAAAAAAAGAGAAAGAAAACATTTAGGGTGTATTATGAATTAAGTATTCAAGTTATCCTCACCAAGGAAGACCAGGTTTCTGTAGTTCTCCAACATCACATCCCTATACAGATTTCGCTGTGCAGTGTCCAGGCACTGCCACTCCTCCAGAGAGAATTCTATGGCCACATCCATAAATTCCAATGGTCCCTGAAACACACACACACACACATACTTTTACCAAGTGGCCACGGGAGGAATTTTTAATTTGATGTAAGGCAAAAAATATGAACAGATACTTTTCAAAAGAAGACATAGTTGTGGCTAGCAAGCATATTAAAAAAAGTTAATCGCTCACCATTGGATAAATTAAAAATAAAAGAAACACAATGAGATACCACCTCACACCAGTTAGAATGGCTGTTTTTAAAAAGTCAAAAAATAAGAGATGCTGGTAAGGTTGCAGAGAAAAAAGAATGCGTACACTCTGTTGGTGGGATGGTGGGAGTTAAATTAGTTCAAGAATTGTGAAAAAGCAGTGTGGCATGCTGTGCGCTGTGGCTCACACCTGTAATCCCAGCACTTTGGGAGGCTGAGGCAGGTGGATCCCCTGAGGTCAGGAGTTCGAGACCAACCCGCCCAATATGGAGAAACCCTATCTCTACTAAAAATACAAAATTAGCCAGGCGTGGTGTGGTGGCACATGCCTGTCATTCCAGCTACTCAGGAGGCTGAGGCAGGAGAATCGCTTGAACCTGGGAGGTGGAGGTTGAGGTGAGCTGAGATTGCGCCATTGCATTCCAGCCTGGGCAACAAGAGCA